GGCCAAGCCCAGTGTTTAAGATTGTTTCTCAATTCACACGGCCGATGGAGGTTATCCACGTTCAACGGCCACTGAGGTGGCCAGGAAATATAGATAACACCCTTCGGTGCATAGAATTGTCGGTGAAATGAATAGTCAAGCACCTGACATTTAATATTTTTCTCGGTTCAGATTTGTTGTAGTAAAACTAACAAGAGAAAGGGATCGAGCCTTACAAAAGCCGAAGTGACGTCTTGAGGAGGAACGCCCACGATTGCGTGTTGCGGCGGATTTAATGCATTAATGCGAAAGAGACGTTTCGGCTGGTGCACGTTTTCGAGGGTCATGATTAAGAGCTGCTAGGTTAACCAAAGGATTGCCAAGCGGCAAGATGTGCAGGGGAATTTGGATCGTGCGATCGTGCTTCATAAATCCACTCAATGGATGAGATGTTTGAGGCTTTTCATTATCCTGTAGTTATCTTGTAGAATTTAATTTCACTTCTTCAAGGTCGAAAGTTGGCTAAGGAATTCTAGGCTAAAGACCTCAGAAGCAAGGGGGCAATGTTTGGGCCCAAAATAATATTATTAGGCCAAGCATAAGTTTATGTTCGGCCCAAAGTTTTTAAATGTACTACGGGCTGTCTGGTGGTCCTAAGCCGCTCAGTTGGGGCGGTCGATCCTATTGCAAGAATGAGTGATTTGGATAAGAGTGGATGGGTCAAAGTTCTAGTGCGATAAGGGGTCTTAATGCAATAAGGATTCTTGGTCGGAAATGAATACAGCCTGAAAAAGAGGGTGAATTCAAAGTCCTAATAGAAGTAGGATTGGTCGAGATAAGGTTGGATCATAATAAGAAGTCCTAATCTGAATATGGTTTTAACTCGATCGTAAGGAGAATTGGTTGCTATAAATAAAGAGCAGAGTGCATCATTCAAGCCCTCTTTAATTTAACGCACAAATTGCTTTGTGCAAACCTCTCAAACATCTTGAGATTTTTTATTTTATTTTTCCACCAACACACCTTCAGTTTGGATAAACAACACTGTGAAGGCAACCGGCGAACATCTTCAGTTTGGATAAACAGCACTGCTGCTGTAGAATCAGCCGATCGAGGAGCACTTTCAGTTTGGATAAACAGCACTGCATCGAGGCCAACTGGTTACCTATCCAAGTCTCGGTCGAGAAGGGTTTTCGAGTCCTTGTTGGCAGAGGTCATCTTGTTAACCTTCCCGGTGAAGTAAGGTGTTATAAGTTACTACATTCGATGCATTGAACGCTGAGTGATTTTATGATTGGATACTCACAAGTGAGTTTCAGAGTTCGGGATTCTGATGGTCGAACCACATTTACCATCAAGACATACATCTCTTTTGATTACTTGTGTCCGTATAATTTGGAGCCAGTTCGACGTGCTTATACTCTTACGAATATAATCACCGTAACCGAACCCGACGCCGACAATTCGTGAACTTCGCAGAACTAACAGCCTTGTCTTCAGGCTCGAGAATCCAAAGGCCGAGACGTGTTCCTTCCTTGCTCAACGCAACATTAACAAATTTTACTCCTAAGTCGAGCTCGACCGACGAGTTGGCACGCCCCACATCAACCGAATGACGTAGTTAGCTCATTAGTTACTCGACTTGCGCGCCACACAGGCATGGTAGTTTTGAGGGTCAACAGGTTCATAAAAAAAAAAAAAAAATTAAGATAACAAGTCCAAAAATCCTCTTAGGAAAAGTTAACACAAAAGAAAATTATCACATAATCAAATTACTACATAAATAAATATATATAGCCCCATATACAACCCGAAAGAAATAGCCCCTCATTGGGAGAGATTCTTTTATAAAGCCCTAAAGATTCTTCGGAGCTCTAAAATTGGCTATATCCACCACTTATTCAGCCCCATATAGAGCCTCTTACTAAGGATGCTCTAATGGATGGTGCTAACCCATTATATTTAGGGCTAGCCCTGAAATTTTGGGGGCCCTGTGCAATGACTCCAAGGAAGGCCCTTAAAAAGTATAGAATTTTGGTTGATATGTTTCTTTTACCACCAGACCGTAGTACTGAATGGCAACACAACTCGTGCTTTTAAATACCAAAAAAAAAAAAAATGAAACATAAAATAAATTAAAATAAAACACAAAAAATAAAAAAATAAAACACAACTCATGCTTTTAAAATACCCAAAAAATAAAATAAAACACAAAATAAATGCCACTGGGCATATTTGTAGAACAGTGGCCAAAATGGTCTCTGAGATTCTCATTTTGGTCCCTAAGGTTTAAATCAATAGAATTGATCCCTAAGTTTATCCACCGTCAATCATTTTGGTATTTTCATGAAAATCTTCATTAAATAAGGAAAAAGTGACAAAATGCCCTTAATCTTTGTCAAAATTTTAGCTCATTGTTTATTAAATTAATAATATTTTTGTCATTTTAATCTTATTTAATAGAGATTTTTACAAAATGAATAATATGATTGACGGTTGACAAACTCAGGAACAATTGCTATCAATTTCAAATTTCAAGTACCAAAGTGAGTTGTGCCAATTTTAGAGACAATTTTAACTAAAAAGCCTTTATAAAACCAAAATATCCAACAAAATCATCAAATTATGCACTAGAGAAAAATAGTTCTTTTTTTTCTTTAGATCCAAAAATTAGAAATGAGGATTGTCAAAAAAGTTGACACAACTTGATATGTTTTAACAAAGGAGAGTGATATCTACACACTTCTTTTTACTTTTAACACGTCTTCTTAATTTTCTGTTGACGGATCGAATGAAGGATCAAAGGATAAAAATTAATAAGGGGTGTGTGAATATCACATCCCTTAACAAAAAATCACTAACTCTTTACCGAAACATTGAATTTTTAGTGTTATTTCGTGTTTTGGTGGCGTGTAATATTTTTCACTCAGTACTACGGTCTGGTGGTATTCATTTTCAGCTGGAAGTGAGATGTCTTATGTTCGAATATCGTGGATGACAAATTTGATACCAAATTAAGTTGTCAATTATGCATTTGTGTGACATAGCCAAATTTTCTCTCCATGTAAAAATATTAATGTACTAAAAAAAAAAATTACATCCACAGCATGTGCTTTGTGAAAGGAGTCAATCACAAATCTCTTTCATCAAGAGGATTAGCTGGCAAGGCTAAAATTCAAATAAAAAAATAGAAAAGAAAAGAACTGTATTTCCACGTGCTGCATGTTGATTGGACAAGATACGTGTCCTTTAAATGGGAGTGCGACTTCGTTGCAGTCGTCCATTCTAGGCGATATTTTGGCGGCCCAACCTCGACCCCTCTCTTTCCTTTTGTGTAAATAAAGTTTTGTCCCATATTACCCCTTGTGCCCTTCCCACCACTACTTATAGTTTATATTTTAGTAGATACCGTGGATCCTCAAATCACATTCGTTCATCGTATATCGTACAGTTAGAAACAGGGTTGACCCAGACCTAGTGCAGGCAGGGGGATCGTCCGGGGCTCAAAAAAATTGGGGGCAGCCAAAATTATTAAGGTGGTATATTTATATATGTTTTTATAAGAGTATATATTTCTAAAATTTGGTTTAGTGACAAAGAAATTTAACTAGAACTAGTGGTTTTGTTGTTTAAAATTAATGACGAGGTCTTAGGTTCAAAACACCATGTGTACTTATTAATATTCTAATTTTTACAAATTTCTTTTCATAATAGTATAAATTTATAAAATTTAGCTAAATGATCAAGAAGTTTAATTAGAAGCAATGGTTTTTTTTGTCTAAAAATAACGAGAGGTCCTAAGTTCGAAATGCTATGTGCATGTTTATTTTTTTCAATTTTTACAAATTTTTGTTTGGTTGTTAATTTATTCAAGAAGTTTAATTAGTAGCTATGGGGGTTTTATTTTTAAACATCCGTTCCAATTCAAGTCTAATCTTCAACAAATTGTGACATCTCACATCGCCCAGGGGAGTGATCCTTATATGTATATTCTCATCTCTACCTAGCACGAGGCCTTTTGGGAGCTCACTGGCTTCAGGTTCCATAGGAACTCCGAAGTTAAGCGAGAAGGGGGCTAGAGCAATCCCATGATGGGTGACCCACTGGGAAGTTGCTCGTGAGTTCCCAAAAACAAAACCGTGAGGGAATGGTAAGCCCAAAGCGGACAATAACGTGCTACGGTGGTGGAGCGGGCCCGGGGAGTGATCCGCCCCGGGCCGGGATGTGACACAAAGAGTAATGCATAGACTAAATGTTTAGACCAAATTTGCAAATAATATTACGTGTCATCAAAAGGTTTAATTTAGTGTTCATTCATTACTTATACATATCCTTAAAGACTCAAAAACATTAGTATTTTTTTAGTCTTATATTGATGAGATTTATAAGGACCCCAAAAATTTTCTTCCTCCTACATGTTACATATGAGTATAAATTTTCTTATAAAAAAGTTTTTGACTGAAAAGAAAAATTACGATCATGTTATTTTATCTATATTACAATTGATTAAGTGGAGTCTATACTTTCCTTCACTTTTCTCTAGCAGTAGAAAAACTTGTGTATTACTTTCTTTCACTTTTCTCTAGCAATAAAAATGATGTATTACTTTCTTCTAAAAATACAAGCGTATTTCCATATCTTTTTTCCAGTCATACTCCATTTTTTCATGGATGAACCCTAAATCGTAATTTCATGGTAGTTAGACATTATTTAATTAATAAAAGTGAGATGCTGATTTCAATTAAGTTTGAATTTAAATAGTTGAATTCTATATGAATATATTGTTAAAAATATTATTATTTTTCAAATAAAGAGAATCTTTTTATTAAATTCACACATGTCCTTTAAAATGTCATAAACTCCCTGAACTTAAGATGGTACACCCTTCCTATTGGCAAACCCAATAATCAAGAAATGTATGTATATTTGCTTTAACAAATAATATTATTTACATTAAGGGAGAGGGGTGGGCTTCACCTCATAATGAATTAACAATAATGTTGTTTAAATTCGTCTTTGATGAAAATTGAACATAAGATTTTAAAAATGCAAATAACAGTTCCAAGAAGTTATGTAAGACTTTTCAATTTGTTGGGAAAATATGAGTTAGTATTTACAACAACAACACGTCTGGTTACGCAACTTTTTAATTTATCCACCATACATTACCAAAACAAATAGAAAAAGAAAAAGAAAAAAGAAAAATAATTAACGAGGGGTTTAGAGAGAGAAACTTTCACAGCCCTTCATTCCCACCCAAAAACCCTCATCAAACTTCAAAGGCATCAAAACGTGACCCCCTCCCTCTCTATCTCTCTCTCTCTCTCTCTCTCTGTCTCACAGATAACATAGTTTTTGAATACAATAAAAAGAACCCATAGAGACTTACAAACCCCTCTCTCTCTACAAAAACCAACCCCAAGCCAAAACCCTTGTGTTTCTCTCTCTAGAAATGGAGTCACTGGACTCGCTCTACGACATCCTCGACTTCCACTCCGACGACGCCGGCGCGGAAGATAAAGCCCATGACTTTAAACCCTCCATTGCTCCCTCTGGGGTTTTGTGCGCGGATGATCCTAGCCGTCCGTTTTCTCAGACTGTAAGTTGCTTGATTAACTACCCACCATTTTCTGGCTTTGTTTTGTTCTTTGGGGGTTACAGGCCGTAGCGAACCGATTCCGTTTCTGAATCGGCCGAGACTCGGCTTTGTGGGTGTTTGCCACGTGTTCACCCGGGTTGGTTTGGGTTTGGACCGAGTTAACTGGGGCGAGTTGGTCCAAGTTTGGGTCTAGGTGTGGGGATGGCGGCTTTGGCTTTGTGATTTAATTAACAGCCGTTTACGGAAATACCAGAGTTTTTTAATACAAATGGTCAATACTTTCGCCCATGTATTTTACCACCCATTTTATTTTATTATTATTCTTTTTTTTTTAACAAAATAATATTGAACGGGACGGCGCTAAACTTCACAATATAGTGCGATTAGAATTCGTTTTTTTTAGGCGAGAATCGAATACCCTACAACTTGATAATGCCAGTAGCCGCAAATGTGATAGGAACAGTGAACCAAGCCTTCCTTACTTTGTCCAACATCCTACGTGGCACAACTCTTGGATTTTGTTGCCCTTTGTTCCCCAACACATGGCGGGGGATTAACCTGATGGGTTTTTACGCGAGTCAACTCAAAATCTCCACCGAGTCAACTCACTGTTTTTATGTTCACTTGCAGGAGGAGGGTGTGGAGGAGGAGCTTGAATGGCTGTCGAACAAAGACGCGTTCCCGGCGCTGGAGACATTCGTTGACATTAACCTTCTGATCGGGCAACCAGCCGGCATTGGCACGGACAAGCACCAAAGCCCTGTCTCGGTGCTTGACAACCGCACAACCCCCACCACCACCCTCATGAGCAGCTGTGGGACACTCAAGCCCCCTCGGGGTGCCCGAAGCAAGGGCCGCCGTAGGCGTGAAAGCTCCAGCTTCCCAGGCATTCTTGAGGAGCACGTCTTTTGGAGCCAATCTAACAACTGCAAAAAGCATGACAATACAATAGTGAAAAGAACAACAGGGATGGCGACGATTGGGAGAGTATGCCAGCATTGCGGGGCTGATGAGACCCCACAATGGAGGGCAGGTCCCCTTGGACCGAAAACCCTGTGTAACGCTTGCGGGGTAAGGTACAAGTCTGGAAGGCTTGTTCCTGAGTACCGCCCTGCAAGTAGCCCAACTTTTTCAAGCAAGTTGCATTCAAATTCGCACAGGAAGATAATGGAGATGAGGAAGCAAAAGCAGGGGACGGGGATGTTACTTTAGCCTGAGGATGATGGGTAGGCTAATTGTGGGTAGTCGACTTTTTTCCGTTTAAGATTAGTTTGGAGCTTGTAGGATTGCTGTAATGGGGGTTTAATGGTGGTTAGTGTTTGCTCCTTGTTTTGATGAAATGACCACAGCTAGGTGAAATTTTGAATTGTTGTGTTTGGTTATGTTGTAGACTGGTAAACAGGATCGTGTTTTTGGTGTTTATCAAATTTTAATTCTTTGCTCTGTTAGCTTCCCAGGCGATTCAGGGGAGCAGCTCTTTTCGAACCAAGCCCACAAGGACAGCAAGGATGGCCAGATAAAAGCGAAACAGCAAGGACAACAATTGGGAGAAAATGTCAGCATTGCGGGATTTAAAAGACCCTGCAATGGCGGGCAGCTCTCATTGGAAAGTAAACCTTGTGTAATTCTTGTGGGATTAGGTACAAGTCCGAGATGATTGTCAGAAAATGCCAGCACTGCAGGACCAAAGAGACCCTGCAATGGCTGGCAAGCTCCACTGGAAAGAAAACCTTGTGTGATGTTGCCGTGTTAGGTACAAGTCCAAGATGATTGGGAGAAAATGCCAGCATTGCGGGACTGAAACGACCCCTCAATGGCGACCAGGTCCCCATGGAAATAAAACCTTGTGTGATGCTTGTGGGGTTAGATACCGAAAGTCTGGGAAGCTTGTCCCAGAATACCGCCCTGCAAGTAGCCCAACTTTCTCGAGGGAGTTGCATTCGAATAGCCTCATCAAGGTAACGGTGAGTACGCATTTTCATGTTGTTTCTTTATAAGGGTTAGCTCTGTGTTTATTTTGATATACTGACCAAAGCTAGGCAAATTTTGGGATTAGTGCGTTTGGTTGAGCTATAGACTAGTAAACAAGATAGTGTTATTAGGTTTTGTCAAATTTTGATTAATTAAATGAGGTTTTTGATGAAGTTTCTTTCTCTTTGGTTTGTTTTTTTTCTCTCTCGCGGTTTTGTTCTTTTTTCAGAGAAGCTTCTCATTATGCATTGCGTTTTTACTCGGCTAAACTTTAACTCTGATGCATAGTAGTGAATAAGCATATTGTTGCGAAAATCTCATTTGTCTTGCGATTCATGAAGTCGGAAGCTTTGTCTGAGTACCAGTGAAGGTCCTGTAATGTGGTTTTACCTACACAGTTTTAGGTTCCAGGTTTTGGATAATCTGAAGTGAATACTTATATCCTGTGTTGTTAAAAGGGAAGTGATTTACGCTCCTCTGTCTCGCCGCGCACTCATTTTCTTTAGCTTCCTCGTTTTTCCTTCTCGTTGAGATTGAGTAAATCAAAGCATAAGCGACAGATACAAACCAGATGGATAGTACACGAAGAGAAAAGGTGAATGCGAAAACCACTTTCGACTGTTTAAAATGTCGAATTCCCTTGTTTGCTTAATCGGTTGTGTGTTGGTTCTTGGGGCATTTCCGTTTGTTGTCGTTGGGCTGATCTAGACTTGTTAGTTTGGGCTAGACTTTCTTGTGCTGGACAATGCAGTATTCTAAACTAAGATAAGGAAATTCGAATTTGAGTCACAGCGTCTGACCGACTGCTCTAAGCCAAATCTCAGTTTAACTAACGGATGCAAATGGTATTAAGTCTTCATAAGCTACTGTCATTTTCTTGTATCAAATTACGTTAAACGGCTGAAAGGGACGATTAATATCCGCCAATGGTTTTTATTGACACCCATAAAGACCTATTGAAGCCCATAATTTTAAATTGTTTTAATGACAATTCTATCCTACTACCAGATGATTCAAACGAACAACTTATATGTTAGAAAACAAAGGGAAGTTGCTACTTAACACTTCAAAAAGCAAATATCTTTTCCTTGCTTCCTTAAAGAAGTCACCGTTATTTATTTGCTAACATAGTTCGACACATGCAAAAGCAATTCATTGAAATTACAAAAATGAAAACTTTTGTACACATTTAAGGAGACAACCCTCGAATAATTTCACTATTTAAGGGGTTGCTTGATAACCATTCGTTTTCTCTTTTTAGAGTTTAGTTTTCACGTTTTTTTTTTTTTTTTTAATTGAAATCTTGTTTGGTAATTACTTTCTGTTTTCAGTTTTTTAAAAAATGAGAACTAAAACTCAAGGCTAATCTTTGAAAGATATGCCTAATATCTCATTACCAAAATCTTGAAAGAAACTCTCAACAAGCCAAAACAATGGGACCCAAAAGCATGATTATTGCTAGCAGCTTGAAACACTAAATGGATTGTGAGTCTATAGAGTGATTCCACCAGTCATTTATCAATTTGTAATCTTCATGTCAATTGTAAGTTTAAGTAAAGACCCAACAGCTCAACAGTGAGAATCTCACATGTACCCAAATTGGCACAAAATCTAGAAGTCTAGTTACCATCAGAATCCCTTAAAACATCACATGCTCTAATAGATTTATTATTTCCCTTCTTGCAACCATTAACATTAATCTTAAAACACTTTGAAGGATGAGCTTCCCAATGGAAGAACAACGATTCAATCTTATGAGGTTTATCAATCTTATGAGTTTAGGCTTCAACTATTCATGAAGATAAGTACAAATAGCGACTTTAGGCTCATTATTCATTGCAAAGTCCTGCTAAAAAATAAATTTATTTCGCTAATACCAAATAAACCAACAAGCAACTGAAAAGAAAAAAAAAAAAAAAAAAAAACCTCCACTCTAAATCTCCCAATAGTGGTGAGGTCAAAATGAAGCCTATCGTGAAAATCAATGTGGTCTAAGTGACTGAAGGAATTTGAAGTTTCCAAATGAGATTCCATTGCCAATTAGGAAAACCACTAAAACAATTAGCCAACATATAAGCAGATTTCACAGAAAAGCTACCATCACTAGTTCCGCTCCAGATACACTTATCAACCAAAGCAACAAAATCAATTGTAATACTATTAATTTGTTCAACTATCTTCTTTGGTAAAATAAATACCATTTTACCAATATCTCAATAATTATTGTAATAATAATCAACTACAGTAGCCTTAAGCATATCATTGGAGAGTAGACAGCTAGCATGATAAAGCAAAATACTACATATAGCAAATTTGTTAGCCCAAAATTTTACCGTATTACCATTTCTAATTCCCCATAGTAGCCCCTCATGCAAAAGTTTAGTCTCTTCAAGAACATCTTTCCAAGTGCATGAAGAGCCTAAAGTAGTTTTATCATTGAGTACCTGATCCATATCACCTTTAATATGGTTGCCGTGGAAATTTTTTGCCCAAAGACCACCCTACGTCAATATCTAAGGACGCGTTACTAATCCGTAATTAAATTGAGAGGAATTGAATTGAGGAGGAATTAGATTGAGGAGGAATTGGAATGAGGTGAAGTCAGAATCGGATTCCTGTTGAAGCTGTTTACTTAAATATTCTGGAATCGGAATAGAAATGACACTAATTCCATAAAGCTGTTTACTAATTTAGCAGAATCGGAATATAAACCAATATGATTACTAAAATACCCTTGTCCCAAATCAAATATTTTATATACTTTTTTTAATAAAATTTGACATCCTATATAATTGTAAGAAAAAAAAATGTATTTAAAATTTTAACAATTCCCGTGTTTGTTATTTTTAATAAAACTTGAATTCTTTTTACTCTTTTTTTTCTTCACCTTTTTACTTAAAAAACCCAACAACAAAAATAATGGGAGTTGGGAGAGGTTCTAGAACCTTCACAGTTCCACTTCCACCACAACCTTCTTTACTCACCGTCTCTCCCCCCTCTGCATCCTCAGTTGGGTTCTACAATCATCTCCTGACCTTGTTCTATCGACCTGAAAATCTCCTTTTGTCGGGTCATCGAGTTGTAAACGATGAACTCCTTGTTGGCAGCCATTCTTGGATTATCTCAGTGTGCAAATCATAAGGTTTGCTTTTATCTAGATACTTCTCTGCATCTGTCTCTCCACAACTGGAATTGGATCTACGGCTGTTGGGAGTTTGTTGGTAGAACTGTTGGAGTCGGTTGGTGGTGGGTCTTCACAGTATATGAGGTGGTGCGGTGGTGCGAGTTGATTAAGGGATGGGGATAAGTGTGCTTCTCATGGTTGAATCGTGATGAAAGGGGCAGGGTAATTTCGGTAGAGAAGTCTGATTTCGGAAGTTAGCTTTCTTCCATAATTCAAATACCTCCTCCAAGTTGGTAATTGGATTCCGACAATATTAGGAATCTGATTACTGATTTTAGGTGGAGCCCACAAATAATTTCATTCCCAAAATTTAGTAAACGCCGGAATCAGTTGGGGAAGAATTCAATTCCCTTTGTTCTACCTCCATTCCGGTTTCGTAAACAGGCCATAAGAGTTTTTAGCAACAGCCAAATTCATAACCCTCATATTTTTCAAACCAAGCCCAGCAAGAGACTTTGGGAGGCAACCTTGGCTCCATTTAACCAAGTTAACTTTATTTTTGGATTGAGTGGGCCCCACACAAAATTCTTATTAAATCTGTCAAATTGATCATAGATGATAACTGGTAATTTCACTGTCCGCATACTGGGATAGCAGAGGTGAAAGACTGAACAAGAGTGGCCCGACAAGCAAGAGATAACGAATTCACTTTTCAAGCAAAAAGTCGAGTGTGCACCTTCTCTACGGGGTCTTTGTTGGAGTTTTTAGTGATATGAGAATGAATGAGCGGAACTTCCAAATACTTCCCCAAGTCATTAGTTCGAGGAGAACCACAAATGTGACTCAGATCAGTAGCCATTCCACGATTATTATTAGGAAAGCAATAGATTCTCGATTTTTCATAGCATATTTGCAGTTCAGAAGTCAAACAAAATTTCTCAAGTCCGAGATGATTGACAGAAAATGCCAGCACTGCAGAACCAAAGAGACCCTGCAATGGCTGGCAAGCTCCCCTGGAAAGAAAATCTTGTGTGATGTTGCTATGTTAGGTATAAGTCCAAGATGATCGGGAGAAAATGCCAGCATTGCGGGACTGAAACGACCCCTCAATGGCGACCAGGTCCCCATGGAAATAAAACCTTGTGTGATGCTTGTGGGGTTACGTACCGAAAGTCCGGTAAGCTTGTCCCAGAATACCGCCCTGCAAGTAGCCCAACTTTCTCGAGGGAGTTGCATTTGAATAGGCTCAGCAAGGTAACGGTGAGTACGCATTTTCGTGTTGTTTCTTTGTAAGCAAATTTTGGGATTAGTGTGTTTGGTTGAGCTATAGACTAGTAAACAAAGATAGTGTTATTAGGTTTTGTCAAATTTTGATTAATTAAAGAGTTTTTGATAGGTTTCTTTTTCTTTGTATTTTTTTCTCGCGGTTTTGTTCTTTTGAGAGAAGCTTCTCATTATGCGTTGCGTTTTTACTCGGCTAAACTTTAACTCTGATGCATAGGAGTGAATAAGCATATTGTTGCGAAAATCTCATTTGTCTTGCGATTCATGAAGTCGGAAGCTTTGCCTGAGTACCATTGAAGGTCCATTAATGTGGTTTTACCTACACAGTTTTAGGTTCCAGGTTTTGGATAATCTGAAGTGTCTACTTATATCCTGTATCGTTAAAAGGGAAGTGATTTTTGCTCCTCTTTCTTGTTGCGCACTCATTTTCTTTAGCTTCCTCTTTTTTCCTTCGCCTTGAGATTGAGTAAATCAAAGCATAAGCGATAGATACAAACCAGCTGGCGAGTACACAAGGTGAATGCGAAAATCACTTTCGACTGCATTAAAATTTTCGAATTCTCTTGTTTGCTTAATTGGTTGTGTGTGTTGGTTCTTCTAAATTTGGGCCATGTGGCTGGGGCATTTCCATTTGTTGTTGTTGGGCTGATCTTGACTTGTTAGTTTGGGCTAGACTTTTGTGCGTTGGACAATGCGGTATTCTAAGCTATAATCGAGAGAATTCGAATTTGAGTCACAGGGTTTGAGTGTACTACTTAGCCAAATCTCGTTTAACTATTAGATGAAACAGTATTAAATCTTCATAAACTATGTAATTTTCTTGTATCAAATTACGTTTAACGGCTGAAAGGGACGATTAATCTCCACCAATGGTTTTTATTGACACCCCGAGGAGACCTAATGAAGCCCATGATTTTAAATTGTTTTAATGACATTTCTATCCTTCTACCAGATTTCTCAAACGAACAACTTACATGTTAGAAAACAAAAGGGAGTTGCCACTACCACTCCAAAAAACAAATTTCTTTTTCTTGCATCATTTATTTATTTGCAAATTACAGTTTGATACAAACAAAAGTAATTCATTGAAATTACAAAAAAGAAAACCTTTTGTACACATTGAAGGAGCTAAACCCTCCAACTATTTCATTATTTAAGGGGCCACTTGATAACCATTTGGTTTTTTGTTTCTAGTTTTAATTTTCACTTTTTAAAAAAACTAAAACCTTGTTTGGTAATTACATTATGTTTTTAGTGTAAAAAAAAAAAGAAAGAAAAACTAAAACTAAAATTCAAAGTCAAATTTTGAAAACTCAAGGAAGTAAATGAAAACTTAAAATAGTTACCAAACAAGATTTTAGTTTTCAAAGAAGTGAAAATTGAAAACAAAATGATTGTTAAACGGTTTTTAAATGAAAACTCTAATGTGGAATTGGTCCATCTACACCAAAAATATCATCTACTCTTTTTGTCCTTGTTATTAGTTTTTAGGAAAACTAATGAAAATGGCTTGAAAACTTTGAGTTTTAATAATAAGGACAAAATAAGGGATGAAGTGAATAGTATCAGGATTGACTTTTTAGTGTAAAAATGTGGTTTTTGTTAAAGTGAACAGTATCATGAGTTTTTCATTAAAGTTCCCCTTTTTTTTCTTTTGTTGGAAAATGATGGTAAAAACAAAGCCCAAACAAAGTTAATCTTAATGAATCTAGATTGGGACAATCCATGTCGATCCTCACAAACAAAACCTATTGAACAAGAAGGAGGATTATCAAAGTAAAAATTGCTAAATCTAAGCTAAGACTATAGTTTGCTAAACTATCTGTCACAAAATTCTTTTCTCTGTAGACATGTTGAATATCTCATTGCCAAAATCTTGAAAGCAACTGTCAACAAGCCAAAACAATGGGACCCAAAGCATGATTATTGCCAACAGCTTGAAACACTAAATGGATTGTGATTGTAGATAGTGATTCCACCTATTCATTTATCAATCTGTAATCTGAATCTCAGTTGTAAGCCCAAACAAAGACTGAATAGCTCAATAGTGAGAATCTCACATGTGCCCAGATTTGCACAAAATCCAAAAATCCATTTAGCATTAGAATTCCTTAAAACACCACTTGCTCTAATCGATTTATATTTTCCTTCTTGCAACCATCAACATTAATCTTAAACCACTCTGAAGGAGCTTCCCAAGGAGCAAAGATATAATCTTATGAGTATTATCCTTCAACTATTCACAAAGATAAGTACAAACAGACGACTTTAGGCTCATCATTCATTGTAAAGTCTTGCTAAAAAATAAATTTATTTCGTCAATACCAAATAAACCAACTAGCAACTGAAAAATTAAAAAATAAACCACCACTCTAAATCTCTCAATAATGGTGAGATTAAAATGAAGCCAATCGTGAGAATCAATGTGGTCTAAGCGTTGATTATACATTCTCAACCTCTGGCAAACTTCTCTTGCCTTAGGAAAATCTTTAAAAATATGAGCCAATGATTCAAAGCCACAAGTACATCTTTGAAACTCAGGGTTATCAGTCATACCCCTTTTTCAGCCTTTGATCGTTAGTTAGGAGCTTATCAAAAGAGAGCAGCCACAAGAAACTTTGAACTTTTGAAGGAATTTGAAGTTTTCAAATGAGATTCCACTGCCAATTACGAAAATCACTAAAACTATTGGCCAACATATAAAGCAGATTTAACAGAAAAATTACCATCACTAGTTCCACTCCAGATACACTAATCAACCAAAGCATCAAAACCAACTGTAATGCTAATAATGTGTTCAACGATCTCCTTTGGTAAAACAAGCACCATTTTACCAATATCTCAATAATTATTATAATAATAATCAACTACAGTAGCATTAAGCATATCATTGGAGAGTGGGCAGCTAGTATGATGAAACAAAATACCACATATAGCCAATTTGTAGCCCAATATTTTACCGTATTACCATTTCCAATTGCTCATGGTAGCCCCTCGTGCAAAAGTTTAGTCCATTCAAGGACATCTTTCCAAGTGCATGAAGAGAGTAAAGTAATTTTATCATTAAGTACCTGATCCATATCATCTTTAATATCGTCTGCTGAAATTGTTTGCCCAATTACCATTACCCCCTGCATCAATCTCCAAGAGTTCTTAGCAAGAAGAGTAGTTAAATTCATAACCCTTATATTTTTCAAGCCAAGCCCACCAAGAGACTTTGGGAGGCAAACTTGGCTCCATTTAACCAAGTTAACTTTATTTTTTGATTGAGTGGAGCCCTATACAAAAATTATTATTCAACCTGTTAAGTTGATCACAAATGATAACGGGTAACTTCACTGTCTACATAACATATACTGGGATAGTGGAGGTGACATACTGAACAAGAGTGGCCCGACCAGCAAGAGATAACGAATTCACCTTCCAAGCAGAAAATCGAGCTTGCGGCCTTTTCTACGAGGTCTTTGTAGGTGTTTTTAGTGATACGAGAGTGAATTAGTAGAACTCTCAAATACTTCCCCAAATCATTAGTTAGAGAAGAACCACAAATGTGACTAAGATCAATAGCCATTCCACAATTATTATTAGGAGAGCAATAGATTCTCGATTTTTCATAGCTTATTTGCGGTTTAGAAGCCAAGCAAAATTTATCAAGACAACCTTTAACAATTGGAGCTTGCTTTCTGGAGGCTTCACAAAGTAAAATAATGACATTTGCAAACATAATATGAGATACAGCAGGTCCTTGTCTTGCAACTTCAACAACTTTCCACTTTCCAACATTAACAACTTCATTAAACAGATGAGATAATTTTCCAACACAAAAAAAAACAAATAGATACGGAGAAAGATGATCACCTTGTCGAACACCTCTTCGTGGGCAGAAGCTTTTTGTGTTCTCACAATTTAAAATGATTTGAAAATCACATCAGTTACAAAATTCATAATTAGCTCTTAAACTTTACCTTGCACACCAATTTCTTGAAGAGTATTCCTGATAAAACTCCATCGAAGCTTATCATAGGCTTTTGCTAGAACAATTTTCCAAGCTAAGAAACCTGTGTTACCTTTCGCTTTTTGAAAAGTGTGAAGGACTTCCTGAGCCATAACTATATTATCAGTGATATGTCTCCCTTGTAAGAAACTCACATGATAAGGACTTATAATCTTGGTTAAGATGGGCCTCAACCGGCCAACCAAAATAACCACCTTATAAATAGTCTTGTGCAAAGACTGATAGGGCACAATGATCAGAGACGGTTCGAAGGAGATGTTGAACAAAGCCCTACGAGAAAAGAGCCCTCGCAGCTTAATTCCCAATAGCTTGATCCAGTCCTTTTAATAATTCTCCCAAGACAATTCTTATGCAACCATCTGAATTGATTGCCAATTAAACCCAAATCAATAATACCATGATTTTGGACCCATTGATTAAAGCCTCCTAGTCTATACACCTCCTTGCTTTTCACTACTAAACATTATATATGCAAAAATCATGCAAAAATCATTCAATTTGTAATCGTTTAGTCATTTATACGCATAAAAAAAAAGAAAAAAATAGGACGGTGTATCATGAGGATCCTACTTGTTACTAAAAGACTTGATTGATTTAAAGCGTATGGATGATTCGAATTTCAAATTAAATGATTTATTTTTGCATATAGGATCTTTGAATGGTGCTAATAAAAATAAACGGTTCCAATTATGATGTTTGGACAGTACAAATGCGTTAATAGTAACTGGAGAAAACATAGATTCCCCATAAAGGAAATACAAGCATTATTTTTTAACTTTTACAAAAGTAAATGATTTTTGCATTTTCATTTTGCTTCTCAACACTTGACAGTCTACCCCTCGCCACTCTCTTTTTCTTTATAATTTTTTTTAGAGTAATGGTAGGGATATTAAATTTGTAGACTAAATTTATAAACTAAAAGATATGGAAGTTGATGATTGTATTATTATTTAATCGTTGATAAATGTGCTTATTTTCTATTGGTGACATTTCATTTGGTTTGCTAATTTAGTCTACAAATTTAGTCTCTCTAGCATTACTTTTTTTTTTTTTTTTTTTTTTGAGCTTTTGAATTTTTTCTAGGAAACAGTGACCTGTGGTACTGAGTCACAATGAGTCCAAAAGAGAAAACAACCTAAAACCATTGATTCTTACTCTAGAAAACAGCCTAAAACCCTTTGTTTCTCTCTCTAGAAATGGAGTCGCTGGAATCCTTCGACGAGTTACTCGACCTCCCCTCGGACGTCGGCGAAGAAGACAAAGACAAAGACTTTGAAGCCTC